ATACTCTAAGAACCAACATCCTTTTACCAAGTCAATCATATGCTAAGAAGTAAGTATTCTTTTGACAGTAAAGTATTTTTGTAGTTGATAGTAATTTTCTATGATTTTTCTGCACATTTTTCTTCATTGAATACCTATGGCTGTCTGTCGGATAAAGCATAGGTGGTGGATTCATTGAATACCTATGGTTGTTTGTCAGATCAAGCAGAAGTGGCGAATTCATTGGATACCTATGGTTGTCTGGCACATCCTTGAAACCATCTTGTCCAGAGAAATCAAGAGTTCGAATGAAATTACGGGTCGTTTGAGTACCATATCAACCAAGCCTTGTAACGCCCTGCCAAAACTTTTCTTAAAAAGACCGAGATGTGTTGGAGTGCCACGGTGATGATCATACCCGTTCTTGCAAAAATCTATATAGCCGGAAGTGTCAAAACGCCACACAAAGACGTACTCTAACTTGTTTGTCCTCCTCGTCTACCCACAAAACACCTCTCAAAACGTTGCTTTTTTTGTCGACTATGTATTTAATTTATATACATTGCTTGATTATCTTCTCTACTGTGGTTTTTCTTTTTCTTTTTTTGTTCCGAACATTGAAACTTGAAAGTACCAAGCAAAGTATTTATCTTTTGGGATATTCTACTCGATGGAAAAATATTTCATAACATAGATGGTTGCACCAAAAAGAGTTGAGGATCTATTTTATTCAAAAAAAGTTGAAAACAATGCTACAACATTTGACTACATGAGAATTTCTCAAAAGTTTGGTTCCAAGAAAATTGAGCTGAGAGATGAAGGAAAAACAGAAAACTCCTCATTCCAGCTTGACGCGGTCCATGTCGTTTATCACTCCTTCAAGCTGCAAACCAACAACACAACAAAACAGTCGGATTCTTATCATGTCTCAATACACGTCTCATTCTGTTTAAGCAATGTAATTTTCTGCTCTATTTGTTCTTAATCTTTGCTCGGTATTGACAAAAGCTTTGGAACTATAGACAAACTCATCTACCATATCCCACAACCATTGGTTCGGCAACTGTATATTCACTACTCCGTGCAACACCACCTACCAAATTTCGCAGCAAAACTCACTCAAATTCCCAAAAAAGCAGAACAAGAGCTTACTATATCTTAGTCCATACAGCAAGAGCATCTTAATTTTTCACACCTCAATCCATAAACGAAACAGTATATGACTAACTGAAGCAAATCACAGACTAGACCTGTGAGAACAAATCTAGTTCTACTAAGACAGAAGAAATAGTGTTAACTTTGGGTTTTTGGTAGGCATTTGTAGAAAAAAAAACATTACACAATATAAAATAAAGATATTGGTCAATATTCCCTTAAATTAAGTATGAAATCAGATGTCCTAAGCAAGTGTTTCAAGTGTTTTCAATTCTATAAGAATGAATCATATGCATATATAGGTAGATCATTATTTAAAAAGGAGTAAAACAATGTTGTACTCACCTGAAGATGGCTCTTAACATGGTAGATGGTCAATCCATGTGTTCTCATAAGCTTCAAGATCCCCTTTGGTGTCGCTTCTACGAGTTTAAGAATCAATTGGAAAATAAAGGGTAAATAATC